ATGATAATAAAAGAATAAAAGAATGTACAGATGCTGTTATTAATTTTATTGTTGGGTTCCAAATGCCATTTTCAGTTATAGGAAATTTTTGGTTTAAAAAATTATGCAATATCTTTGATTCATGGTATATCTTACCAACATGTCAATCTTTACAAAATCAAATTTATCAAATATTTGAAAATCATCATAATTTAATTGCAAAAGAATTATCAAAGCTTACAGTAAAAGTATTGCATGTATATGTATATTATATTAAAAATCGTTGTTTAAAATTAACCACTCATATTTAAAGTATGTGATCAACAACGGATATTAAAATTGGCCAATCAGATCTTAGTATATGATCGACAAACCGCGGTTTTAAAACACGGTTTTTAAACCGAACCGAACTGACTCAACCATTTAACATCCCTATTTGACAAGCAACCTAAATTGGGGAGTCTCAAGCGAAAATGAATCTTTTTTTTTTTTTTTTGTCATTTTGAGATAATGATATAATAATATATAATTTGTGTCAGTGAATCTTTTTATCTTAGAAATATACCCATACTTAATAAAATTTTGAGATATGTCAAGAAAACTGTTTGCATAATATATTGAACTTAAAAAAATCTGCAACTTTAAGGGGGTTTTTCTTAAAATTGTGATTTTCAAAATTGACTCATTTTCGCTTGAGACTCCCCATATAAAGTATATATATTACCCTATTAATACAAATATTGAAGGGTATATATAACAAGACAATTAATTTCCAAACCAACTATATTTGGATTATCTGTTTCTTTCAATAATTCATTTGATTCATTAATTGTTTCTTTCAATAATTCATTTGATTCATTAATTGTTTCTTGAACCCATCTCACAAATTAGAAGATGGAATTTGGAAAATGCAAATACTATTTGTTAAAATTGATATAAAATAAAATTGGTTTCAAATGAGATTTAAAGATGATGAAAAGATTGAGGATCAATGTTGAAGAGAAAAAAAAGTAATAATGATGACAATATTAATGACATTATAATAATAATATTGTGAATGATAATGAAAAAAATAAATGCTAGTAATTCTACTATATACAACTGTTTCAATATTTACATTAAAAGGACTCCAACTACAATTTCAAAAATAATGATAATAATATAATAAAAATATTAATGCTAATGGCAGTGTTATTCAGCAACAATAATATTAATGAAATAAAAATATTAATAATAATAATGATTGATAACAATAAAAATGAAAGATAAAATTTTGAAGAATTAGATTATTTTTTTTTTTTTAAATAACATTTAATATAATATAGGCACCACTTCAATTAGACACCTTGATTTGCATCTTCTCTTGTCATCATCATTGCTTGACTAATAACATGTTATTTTCATTATTTGATCTTAAGCTCCATATTTCAAATATGCTTTGTAAGACTATTATATTATTAGTTATATTATTAGAATGATAGAACTAATGATGACATTATTAACCAGCCTGCTATTAAATAGTCGGTTTATGTGCCTATAGGATCAGACTTGCCATTATATTTTAAGTGACCACTGTTACAGCCTATTCCAAGCTCCTAACAGTTCAGTTCCAGTTTGATTAGTGCTCTTGGCATATAAATCCATCAATTTAAAACTACCTAATCAGCAACTTTAAGTACAACCTCCATTTTTGACATCTAATTTATACTTATTTTCTCACATTTTGTTTTTTCCTTTCTGTTTTACAATTTAACATTTTCATATTCTTAAAATTCAAGTCCTTGATTTTGTCAAACTTTTTAATGAGAGAGTTGTAAAATGGATTTATTTTCTTCTTCAATATCATCTGGATATCTCAAATGCAACAGCAATAATAAAGGAGTTGTTTTTGGAGCATAGCAACACATATAGATTATCATATTTTTTCAGCATTGACATCAATGGAATACATAACCCACCAAGAAGGTATTGTATCTATCTATAGCTTCTCTTTGGAATTTTTGGTGTTCTATCTGGTTGCTAAATTTCTCAAAAATTCTTATTATCACCATATTTTAAAGGCTGTTTTATCCAAAAGTAAAATAAGTTAGTAATTAAATTAAAACAGTTAATCTTGTCCATTTGAAGACAACATCAGGAAATTAATTTAGCGTAAACTTGCATAAATCTTACGATGCCGACATAATATTGTGTAAATCTTACAGTGCCGACGTAAGTTTTACACTTTTTTATTATTAAACTTACAATTGACACATGTAAAATTTTTTTATATTTTCCGGATGAATGTGATTTACTTACAAGTGAAGAAATTTAAATTATTATTAAATTAAAAATTGTGTTTTTATAAAGATATTGTTTTATAATAATAACACCTGACTTTTATTAAATTGGATCTAAAAAACTATTACAGTATTATATTTATGTGACTGTAAACTTAGAGCTTTTAATCAGTCTTAGCTAGTCCCTATTCTGGCTCAGGTTTTCATGAGCTTTCTGTGCCACAATGCCAAATTATCCAATAATATATTGAAAAAACCTTTGCCAATTAATTTAATGTGACAGAAAAGTCATAAAAAAATGTATCTTTTGGTTTCAATCATATAGGATTCCTTGAAAATTCTGTATTAGGATTCTATATCATTTTAAGGGATTCCTAAGCCAAAACATTACTGATGCATATGTATTTGTAGGATAACCTTTTAATGCTTAAAAAAATTATTATAAATAAATAAATATTGGTAATAAAGTTTCTTGAAAATCAAAGTAAGTGTTAGTCAAGATCTACAAAGCTTGCAAAATGAATGTTTATCAATTATTCAATAATTATATAGGTGGGTTTGATCGAAGTAAGCATTAGTCAAGATCTACAAAGCTTGCAAAATGAATGTTTATCAATTATTCAATAATTATATAAGCAGTTTGATCAAAGCAAATGTTAATCAAGATTAGAGGCCTGCACGGGTCATCATAATTGAATAAATACCCAACCCGAACCCGAACAAATTTATAATTGGCAACCCGAACCCGACTTGTACACAAAAAATTATAAAAATCTCAACCCGAACCCGACTTGTACACAAAAAATTATAAAAATCTCAACCCGAACCCAACTTGTACACAAAAAATTATAAAAATCTCAACCCGAACCCGACTTATATACAAAAAATTTCAATCCAAACCCGAACTCAACCCGTTTTTTATTAAATGATGTTGTAACACAATTTTATTTATATTTTTTTAAAAAAAAGTTTACAAAGTTGTTAGTTGCTTAATGAACTTCTTAATACAAGAATACTATCAACTGTTTGTGGATTTAAGTTTGAGCGAAGTTCATTGACTGTAAGTCCAGCTGCACTGGAACATGGGATTGAAAGATAGTAGGCAGCAAGCCTTGAAAGTCTTGGATAAACATGCTGATGGTCTTTCCACCATTCTAAAATATTAAAGTTGTCATCTTTTTGTATTTTTGTTGATAAATACAAATCAACTTCATCTTTGTCATCATCTTCATCATCACTATCATCATA